CGGAAAATCTTTCAGGAGTTCGAAGCTCTGATCGATCCCAGTCGCAATCATCGCGCCTATCGCGTGTTCGTTGGCAAGCTGCAGCCACCGCTGATTCCGTTTATGCCGCTGCTGCTCAAGGACATGACCTTCGCCCACGAGGGCAACAAGACCAGCCTCGACGGCCTCGTCAACTTCGAGAAAATGCACATGATGGCCCAGACCATGCGCACCATACGCTTCTGTCGCTCACGCAGCCTGGGTAAGTTTGGCTTTTGGCATTTGGGGCCATCAAGATAATTAATGGGACTTGGATTTGGAGTGGAAAAAGAGAGCTGTAAAAGTTTTTGTGAAGAAATCTTTTGTAGCGAAAGACTTGATATAAGTCTGTCGTGGAGTCTAAAGGCTTTGTGCTAGTTAAAATCACAGCTGGATATCTTCGTATATCCTGAATACAGTGACTATGCTCTCAAAGCAATCAAAGCAACAGCAAGCTAGCATTGGCTTTTCTAGTATCTAGTCGCCTAATAGACGTGGACTGTTCTTAAAGCAATGCTTTAAAATTACTATACGAGTTGAGCGTACAATAGCTGATGACTCGATGTCTGCAAATAAATTTCCTTCACTCACACTCTGAGAAAGAACTCTCAGAGCAGCCGATTGCATCGGTTCTTTGAAGACTTCGTTCGTGATCGGACAGAAACCTTTCTCTTTTGGCTTTTTATGCTCTGGTTTCCTCTCGACTATGCAGCAAATGGTCTATTGTATATGTATTGGCATGCGAGGCTCTTGTTCGCTAGGCACATCGATGGCTTACGAGGGTCGAGTTTGTGCATGTGTGTGTGAAGATCGTTTGCATTGACTTTTCGAGCGAATATTTGCTTACTCTCTCTATCTCATTGTGCGAATGTCAATCGTATCGCTCCCTATACGATGTTCGTTAAAAGAGCGTTACACGAATAGAACGAACTCAACCGAAAACCGAAACGAAATGAAACGAAGTCTTTTGAGCGAGAGCAAGTGAGTATGATTTTTCCAGTTGATCTCACGAACAGATCATTCAATATAAAACGGCTAATAAAACGAGAGAGTTTTGATAAACCACATATTAAAGCTTATTCAAAGGCCTAGAGAAAAGTCAATGAATACTCAAATTTTCTCATCTTTTATTCATCGTCATGCTAAAGTAAAAACAAGAGCTCAGACAGCAAAACGGACATTGCATAAAATCCTGCTAATAATACATAAACTCTTCACTTCATTGACGAATATAATATTGTATAAAGATACATATATATATGTATTATATATACTCATAAAAAATAATGAAATGTAGCCTGAAAATGTGGTGAAAGTGTAGCTTAACTTATTTTTGTTCACTATTTACTTTTCAGGCCTGGAACCGCCTTCACCCAAAAGCGAGGGCGAGGTGCGCTCGTACATTAGCAGCTTTCGTGTGATTGACAATCAGCGGGTGTTGACTGCCATGTCGCAGAAGGTGGAGCCCACCAGGAAGCTAAACTAAACACAAACAACAAACATCAAATCTAAATGTCAAGTCGTCGCATAGTCCCAACTAGTATTAGCGCGTATTTAGTGTCTATAACAGAAACTTTTAAATTTATAAATAACAATGAATATATATACATATATACATACATTAATGACGAGTATAAACTGTAATTAACTGCACAGTTATGAGCTTAGCTGAGTTGATTTTTAGCTGCTGCCCCGCTAGCGACCAACCAGTGCATTCAAAACTAAAATAAAATTAAAAAAAAAAAAAGAAAACTAATACAAACATTATATTCTAATAAACTGAACAAAACAATTAACTTTTATTCATTTTAGAGAGCAACTAAGTTATATTTATGTAAGCTTGGCTAAACAAAAAAAAAACAACAACAAAAAAACAACTATCTCAATTTCTAAATGAACTGAAAAACACAAAGAGAAAACTTTTTGCTTTAGTACAAAGAAAACAAAAAAAAAAAAAAAACATTTGGCTTTTGGTTTGTTGGGGAATTGAAGACCCAAATGGAAATTGCAAACAAAACAAATGGGCGTGTGTGATACTAAAAACTTAGAGAAAGCGACAGCAACAGTAACAACAACAATGATAATGATAAACAAAAATAAATTGTACTAAATCTATTTCCTACTACAAAAATCTTTTAAATATTTATATATATTCAGTCAAGGCTATGCAGCTAACCCAAAAAATTTATATATATTAAAGGGTCTAATACGAATGGAATCTATTTTTTTAAATATAAAAAATAAAATAGTAATTGGCAGGTCATACAAAATAAAATTTATATATATATACATATAATCAAATCTAGTTGAGTCTAGCTATTAATAATTATAAGTTAAATAGATTCTAAGTCATTTATTTAAAATTTGTTTAACCATTTTATATTTTTTAATTTATGCAAAAAATACATAAATAAAATATAAAACAAATATTTGAATTATATTTCCTAACTTTTTTGTTTTATTCAATACATTTTTTATTTATTTATTTTCATTTTAATTTTTTTTTATTGGCAAGTTAAAATATATGAAAGCTTTTTTTTTTTTTTTAAGTTAAGAATTGTAAATATATTTTCTTTATTTAGAAAAAAAAATATATATATTAATTATGCTTAGTTTAAGCATAACAAAAAACACTGGAGAGGGACCTTATTAGTTGTAGAATGTGTAAAAAAAATGGCTTCATTTGCGTGTACATAAATTAGGAATTACTTTAACAGAGAACCCACAGAAAAGTTCTTCAAATCAAGTGTGAGGCATAAGCAGACAATTCTCTAACCACAACGGGATCCCAAGGCAAAGAGAACTTGATTTAAATATATATATATATATATATATATATATATATAAAAATATATTAAAAATTAGCGAGCCAAACCCAACTCCTCTCCCAAGAAGGTCTCTCAAACAACGATATACCACTTAGACAAGAACCACTATGTAGGCTACATCTATACGCCCTAAACGACCATAAATACTTAGCCGATATACATGTATACATAAATATATATATATTTAAACTTTGTTTTTAGCTACACTCTTAACTATCGTATAATTCTTGACTTATGCACAATAAACACACACAAGAGACACGAATTCACAGGTTTCCCTACAACAGAAAACAGCAAAAACCAAAATATATAAAAAGTTGTACGAATTTTTTGAATGAAACTTTTTATATGAATAAATAATAATATATATATTTAATTTAATGATTTACAAAACAACGCAAAGAACACCAATTTTGTAGAAGAACGATTATGAGAATGATGAACAAATTTAAGCCTTTAATTACTTTATCTACCTTGGGAAAATTCTGTTGGCATCGTCCATTAGACAACTGTAAAATTTCCCAGAAAACAATTTAAGAAAAACCTTCTTCAAATATGTAGTTTAAATGTTACAATTGTAGATGGTAGACCAAGAGCATTGTCTAAAATGGAACGGGTTTATATATATTACGATCAAATGCCCATCAAAACATAGTCTAAGAAACGTTTCCTTTTTGTGTCAAATATTTAGATATACAGCTATATATATATTTTATAGCATTTCTACGTTAGGAAGAAACTTCAAAAATAGAAAAGAAAATATATATACATATATTGATATTAATTACCAACATATACTATATACTATATATATACTATAAAACAAAGCAGAAAAAATTTCAAATTTTAACTTGTGATTCGATTTGACAATCTTAAAAGAATCTTTATGACTTTGATTTATATTTAATACAAATTTTCTCCCATTTATTTTTCAACAACTTTGCATAAATTTGTATGAAATATCCAAGCTATAGCTATACGTATATACCTCCGTTAAACCATGCGCAAACAATAGCTACTATAAATCAGCAAACAGCAAAGCTAAATTAATGAATGTTCAAAAACAATCTAACTAAATGTTCAAATCAATGTTAAAAAAAAAAAATTAAAAAAATTAAAAAACCAACCAAATACAATCGAGACAATTTTACCTAATAATAATATATACATATATATTAAGAATATGGGCTGCTTGGCAACCTATATACATAGTATATATACCCTATAATAACTAACAAATAGACTAGATTTAAATAGCAGAGTATAGAAATGCTCAGCAGAGCTCACAGTAAGAATACAACACCAAACAAACAACAATTAAGAACAAATATCTTAAAGAAATAGCATAAAAATTATAATATATATTTATGTCTAAATATATATACATAATTAATGCATATTTATGGAAAAAAGCAAGCAACAACTCTTTTAAACAAATTACAATTACCAAAAATCGAAAAACTTAAAAATTTATGCAAAGCTACAAAATATTTTAACAATAATCTTTGAATGTTACAAACAGAACCTAAGCATATGGACAGCATTGTAACTTTGAATGTCTAACATTTTCAAATTTAACTAATATTCAAATAAAAACCTTTATGTGTTAGCAGAAAAAAAATGGAAATGTAGTTTCGATTTGAAGTTTAAAGCTCAGCGCGTTGAAAAAAAGCTCGTGAGCGAAAGCTTTCGTGAAGGGGGAAATACCGCAACAGCTGTGCATTCATCGCATGACTCAACCAAGTGAACTTGTCGAACTTGCCGAGTAACTGACCCGTAAATACCCTGGAAATCTGGTATGTTGGTCATATTATGACAGACCATCAGAACTTACAAATTACTTATTTTAGCTAAACTTTCTTTAAAAAAAAAACATCCAATAAATGAATTTTTTAAATATAGAATTATTTACTACTGGTTAAAAAAAATTTTAGCTAACAATAAAAATTATCATTTATTTTTATCTGACCTATAAAATAAATAAAATAAACCTTTTAATGTGCATCTTTTCTTACTACATGTTCAACATAACCAGCTGAGCTATGCCCATGCTTACAGGGTATTTAGAGAGATGTGGGCTTTTTTATTGCATGCAATACCACGCTGCCCCTTGCTGAATCATATATGGTATATTAAAACCGGCTGGCTGAACGACGCGCTAGTCGCTCACTAGACCTTGGACGTGGTGGAACTGATTGCGCAATTGAACAACACGCGGATCTTAATAAAAAATAAAAAATAAAAAAGAATACACATATATATAAATAAAATTTGTAATCAATTATCAGAGCAATGCCAAAAGTAGCGCCAAAAATCAAATTAAACAATGGCCAGGAGATGCCCATAATTGGCCTGGGCACCTGGAAATCATATGAATCGGAAGCCTATCAAGCGACCTGTGACGCCATCGACATCGGCTATAGACACATTGACACCGCATTTGTTTACGAGAACGAGCATGAGGTGGGCAAAGCGATCCGGGAGAAAATTGCCCAGGGCGTGATCAGGCGAGAGGATATTTTTGTGACCACCAAATTGGGTGGCATTCATCATGATCCTGCGGTGGTGGAGCGCGCGTTTCGCTTGAGCTTGAGCAACTTGGGTCTGGACTATATCGACTTGTATCTGATGCACATGCCCATTGGCCAAAAGTTTCACGACGACAACAATGTGCACGGTACCTTGGAGCTGACGGATGTCGACTACTTGGATACGTGGCGCGAAATGGAAAAACTTGTGGATCTTGGACTTACCCGCAGCATTGGCCTCTCCAATTTCAATGCGGCTCAAACAGAGCGTGTGCTTGCAAATTGCCGCATTAAGCCGGTGGTGAATCAAGTCGAATGCCATCCAGCCTTCCAGCAGGAGCAACTGCGTCAGCATGCCAAGGAGCACGGCCTAATCATCTGCGCCTATTGTCCGCTGGCCAGACCACAGCCGGCACGCCATTGGCCACCATTCCTGTACGATGAGCGTGCGCAGCAGCTGGCCAAGAAATATGGTCGCAGCAGCGCACAGATTTGCCTGCGTTATCTCATACAGATTGGCGTTGTGCCGCTGCCGAAGTCGTCGAATAAAGCGCGAATTGCGGAGAATTTCAATGTTTTCGATTTCGAGCTGCAGCCTGAAGATATGGCTGTTATGAAGAATTATCATACGGGCGTGCGCACAGTTCCATTTAGTGGGATGGCTGGCCATAAATATTATCCATTTAACGATCAATTCTAAGTTTAATTACCGCATAAGCTTGCTTAGTATTTTTTATATTAATAACACAAAACACAGGGTTGTATTGCAAACAACAACTTGCTAATCAGCTTGTAAATGAATTTCATTTGATAAAAACAAAAAAAGAAATAAGCCCAACAAAAATACCTAGTCTGCTGTCTTATCTTAGTATCTTACGTAAATAGGGTGAGGAAAAGTAGAAGGTTGTCAAGTTTAACTTTATTTAATATGTATTTCATTTCGATGTGAACTACGAAAAACCCTGATTGTGTTTAGAGATAAAGCGCACAAGTTATTTAATGCAATTGCTACGTTCGCTAGTTTCTATTCCAGACGCATTGAAAATCATATCTGCTAAATTCTGTCATATTTGTCGCCGGGATTTGAAGTGTCTGTCTTATCAGTTGACGGATTTCATGATGAAGTACAAAAGTAAAATAGTTCAAGGGGAGCGCGGGCGTTAAATGATCTTCTGTGTCAGTCGGCACCAACGAATAATAGTGGAAAGAGCAATCATCAAATATTTATAATTAACTTCATTAGCAAGCTCAGCGAATCAACAGGTTGCTTTCTTGCTACTGTTTGTTATTTAGTATTTAAATACTGTTTTGGTGTTTTTTCAAGGCACAACTTGGTTAGGGCGACCATTTGTTCTGTGCTTATTTTAGTGGGTACACACTGAAATAGCGAACAGCTGTTTAGACTTGCGTTTTACTTTTAAGTTGCTGGTCGGAAATATTATTTTATGAAAATGTCGGTTATATTAAGACATAAACTGCCCACGCAATGGCTTTTAAAGGTAGTTAAACATACACTCACTTTGATGGATTAATAAATTAACACGCTTTATTTCAGCAAATTTGTTACAGCACCAGCGCCAAATCGAGCAACGATGCGGCAAGTGCCAAAACAATACCGAAAAATTTGCTCGAGGATAAGCAAACGGCGAATTTGCAAAAGGAAAACGGCGCCATATTCGATAAGCGCCCATTTAAACTGCACTTGGACAAAGGTAAGCTAAGCCAGACGCTCGCAAATTTCGTCAAATAACAAGCATGTTTACATAATCGACCGCACGCAGAGAAAACCTACAGCTGGTGCCTGTGCGGCAAATCCAAATCTCAGCCGCTGTGCGATGGAACGCACAAAAACGAATTTCTTAAAATTAAACTGAGGTGAATATGTTAGTATAATCGTGGTATATTAAATGTACTAATACAAGTTATTCACCAAAGGCCCATACGCTTCAAGGTGGAGAAGACGGGCGACTATTGGCTCTGCAACTGTAAACACACCACTCATCGTCCCTTCTGCGATGGCACCCACAAGCAGCAGCACATCCAAGACGCCGTTAAATAATTTTAAAAATACATAAATAGAACTTTTGGTTAAATGTGAAATGCATTTTGTAGTATGTATGTATGTATATCAAATGAGAGATGCACGCAGACATTTTTTGGATTCAAGAAGCAACACTTGTTTTATTCTAGTTAATAGAACCATCATACATACACATAAATAAATGCTTTTGCAGCCCGAATTACATACATTATATGTACGTATGTATGCATGTATATGTGGTGTATAATATATGTATACATATATTTGTTTGTATACTTTATAAATTTATTAATATTTTTAGTAATGATTTTACAAGCTTCAACAAAATATTTACAGCTTTTGGATAAATAAAAATTTAGAAATTCTTTCAAGATACACTGTATATATTAAAAATAATTTAAGTAAAAAAAAGTGATAGGTTTTATGTTTTTAGAAATTAGCAAGTTGTTTTCGTTTTATTTTTAAAGTTCGGATTTTTACACATAAAAAAGAAAAGCTGGTTGATAGAGCAAAAATTGTCTTAAATACTACTATATTCATTATTCATCATGCATTCCACATGATTAGTTATTTTAGAACAGAAATAACGTTGATCAACTGAAATAATATGCCAATCTGATCTGCATAAACAACGTGAACTTCACATTTTACAATTGTTTTTTTTTTTTTTTCGACTACACACACAAAACTACACTCAAAAACAACAACAAAAGTCAATGACAAATTTCCTTTACGTAAAACTTATAAATTCATGTTTTTGTTTAGGAAAAGAAAATGAAAAAAATTCGCATTTGGAGAAAAAAAAAGGAAAAACGAAACCAAATCATCAAATGAAACGGCAACAACACAAAATACATACTAATCGTTACAAGTTTAATTAAATATTCTAAACAATTTTGTATCTTACGTCGCTCTACTTTATACGACGTATTTTGGGGTTGAGATTGTTTTTGTTGTGATGCTTTGTTGTTGTTGACTTACTACAAACGATTTGGATACTTCATTTAGTAAATAACAATAGCAGCAACAGCCAACAGAACACGATTCGGTTTTTAGTTGTTTAATATTGTTAATTGGTTCGATCATTTGTATTCGCTTGAGGCAACGTAACTCAGCTTTGTCTGCAACAAAATTGAGCAGTTTTTGAATATATTATAAATGCCATAATATATTATAATAACAATCGTGTTCGATCGGTGCGCTGCATATTGTCATTTAGTAAATACTTAATTTACATAATCACTATGCCAAATTTGAATTAATAATTAATAAATAACTACTGTGTGTACATATGTGTAATGTATATATGTATATACTATGTGTGTGTGTGTGTTTTTGTTGTGTTAAATCGCATACTTTCAAATATAATATCCATTTTTGTTTCTGTATTTGTATGTAAGTGAGTGTGTGTGTGTGTGTTTTGCGACTGTTTCCTCGTTCATTATATTGTAATATCTGTTTTTGTTTGATTCGTTGGTTAGTTTGGTTCCGCTTGTAGAAAGTTTCCGTTATATATTTTTGAATTTGTTTGACTTTTTGAAAAGTTTGATCAGCGCAGCAATTTCACGTTGTATTCTAATCCATGTTTGTTTATTATTATTATATATGTTTTTGTGTTGGGTTGTTTTGTTTTCTCCTTTTTTCTGAATATGTATTGATCAAAGAAGTAATCGTGGGCTTTGACTATATTTAGTATTCTTCGTCCTCTGGTGGTGCGTCGTCTGGTGGCGCAAAGCCATCCTGTTGTGGTGCCAAAACACAATTAGATTATGCAAATTGTTTAAGCAAACAAAAATCTCTCTCGCTTACCTCAGTTGCGTACAGAATGTCCAAAATCTTTTGAACTAACTGAGCTGGCTCGGCCTCATCGGCTTCCTGGCAACTGTGCAAATATGAAAAATATATATATTAAATATTAATTAAACATGTTTCATTTATAATTGATTCACTTACAGTATTTCAATATCGCGCAGCTTGGAGAAATAGAAATCGCGCTCTTTCTCCAAGCCCTCCAGATTCAGACGCATATCCATTATCTTTGGAAGGATGATATGAACAAACAAAACAAAATATAATATAATGATCACTTGCATACATCTAGTTCAGGACGAACCTGATTCGACAGCTCTTCGATCTGTTGATTCGTTTGCGCTGTCACCGCATCGTTCTTCTTAACAGCTCCCGTTGTGCCCGCCGTCATTCGATTCGGCGGCGTCGCATTGTTTGTCCGTGGCGGTACCTTAGAAACTACTTGTATTGCGAAAGAGACATAATTGATAGGTTAGTTTATATCACGTATATACACTCAATATAAAATATACAATGAACACAACTATTGATGGAATCTATGTTGAGTATTTAACAAACGTGAAGCACGTCAAATGGTTGGCGTTCAAGTAGCGCTTTGTTGGGTTTGGAAAAATTTCGTTGACAATAATTTGTGCAATCAAGTTTTGTTAAATTATATATACAATATATAGTAGAAATAAAAATAGGTGTGAGTAGTTGTTAGAGTAAGTAAGTATTCATTGTAGTTGTAGTTTATGTTTTAGATGAGCATAATTTAGTATATGTACAATAAATTTGTTTGGTTATATAATGTTATTGTTGTTGTTATTATTATTATTATTAATAATATATGGAATGGGACACGGGCAAGCAAACGAAACCAAACCAAGAGAACATACTGGGCTTTGTGGCTGTCGTTGTTGTTGCTGTTGGCCGTGTTGCCGCCGATGTTGGCACACGCCTGTAGGAGCTGGCAACGCCGCCGCCGCCGCTGCTTGTGCCTGGCAGAGATTTTCCAGCACCGGAGCCAAAGCCCATCGGTGCACCCTCGCGTACAGCGCTGGCATCATAATCTCTGCCATCGTAATTGGCGTCGAAGAACTTTTTGAACCATTGTAAAAATTCAAAATTATCTTGGAATCGACCCTTTATCAATTTGTCAATGGGTATTATCTAAAAGTAAAATGTGTGAGAGTGAGAGAAAGAGAATAATAATGCAAGTGTAACTGTGGGGAATGCCATATGAGGAAACACAAAATAGAAATTACAAAAAAAAAAACAAAAGAGACAGACAGTTAAACAGAACAATTTTGATATCAACTCAAGATTAAACTAAAGATTATAAATTAATGAGAGAGAAAATGTGCACACTAAAAACAAAGACGAACAAAATACTCAAAAGACGATGTACTTGAGGACAAATGTGTGTATGTAGGTGTGTGTGTGTGTGTGTGTGTTGAAGCGTATGTGTTTGTGCCAATTTGCTTATTGAAGTTTTTGTTGTGCTTGTGTTGTTGTTGTGTGTGTGTGTGTGTGTGTGTGCGCGCCTTTCATGGTATGCAGTCGACGCTTCCGCGTGCTTCACGTTCGTTTTCACTTTTCGATTAATTTTTTTTTTTTTTTTTTGTTGGGTTGTATACAAAATGAAAGTAAAACAAAAATGGAACCCTCGCATACAGCGACCATCACCGTCAACAGCTTCTCTTCCATTATTAACAATTTCAAAACCATCGACAATATTCTGCAGCGATCCCATACCCGTTCTACCGCGCATCGAGCTGCTGCGCCCATTGCTGACAAGTGGCGGATGCGGCTGGTGCGTCGACTGCGCATGCGATGAATGCTGGTGCTGCTGTTGCTGGGAATGGGAATGGGCATGCGAGATGAGCTTCTGTCGGTGCATCGTGTGCAATTCATTGCTGCTGCTGCCAACGCCGCTGCCCGTGTGACTGCCGGGTCCGCCGCTGCCCAGCTTCACGTGATTCCGCTGCGCCAGTGCATCGTATTCCTGTCCATCATAATTGGCATCGAAAAACTTCTTGAACCATTGTAGGAATTCAAAATTGTCTTGAAAACGACCCTTAATAAGCTTATCAACTGGTATAATCTGTCGTCGTCGTTGTTGTTGTTGTTATTATGATTGTTGTTGTTGTGGTTGTTTTTGTTGCCAGTTGCATAGTTGTAGTTGATGTTGTTGTTGTTGATTTGTAACGGAAATTGTCAGTTAGTTACGCACATATTAAAGTTAAGTGTCGTAAGATTTTGTTTATAAAAAAATGTTTCTTGTGTTCCTCAAGAGAATTTTTAAATTTGAATTTCAAAATTTTCATGTAAGTTAAAAATAATGTTTTAATATAAATTTAATTGAAATGACATCAATTGTCGATTCTACTTTTAAGTGAAACAGAAAATGTTCTAATATTTCGAAATTGAATTTCTTAACTAACGAAATGTTCTGTAGCATGAAAAACTAATCTTTATCAATAATCCCAATTTCTAATATTTAACTTATATAAATTCAAAATCAAATTTATTTCTAACAAATTACCGAAGCCAATAGAAAGCTTTAGGATTCTAATATTAAAATTTATAGCTAATTATAATAGTTACTATAAAAATTACATTGATAGTGGCGTGCACAAGGGATCATCACAACACACACAGCACCTGAGCTTTTATTAAATTCAATTCAATTTGTTAAGTGTGCAAAAAGTGTTTGAATTCAAATCAAAACTAAAAAAAACAAAACTCGAGCATTAAACAAATCAAATCAAGTATTGTAAAACTTGAACAAAATCGATGTAAAGTAAGAGCAAGGAATCAAAAAACAGAGGGAGATAAAGATAGAGAGAGCGAGAGCAAAGAAGTAGAATTTTACCTTGT